AGCTTTAGGTAGCTTAACTTGGGACTAGATGGCGCTGTGTGAATTGTCCTGAGATTATTATTATTATTATAATTATTATTATTGTATAAGTAGGAGTGTACATTATATACATCATACATCATCACAGATTATATACATCACATGTTACTATATATAAACAATCATAAGAGGTATTTCTTATGAAAGACCTATCATATAACTTCTAGGCTTCATTCCTGGAATTTTTACCACTTACGGCATATGACGTTCCGTTTACTAATTGCAATTATTTATATAGACTGACCGGCTCAGACTGGCTTTGTTAATAATAAACAATGTTGAGATGTTCGTAGCTTATTGGTTTACAATCCTTTCTTACATCCAAGAGGTCGTGAGTTTTAAGTCTGGCAGCTGTTAAAATAAAACTTTGTCCTTTTATATTTCTAACTGATTCCCCTTAAATAAAACATCAATATCAAATCAAAAATTAATACGAGAGACTGCGGGAGGACCCCGTTTGTTGTTAGGTAAAAACTATATACGTCTGTGTTGCATACACAACGATATCAACAAATTAATATGTCTCTATCTACACCATCGACGATAACAGTCCTGATGGTAATAGGTACATTTATGTTTTTTATAATGTAGATTAACAGTGTATAAAACAAAGTAGCCTCCACTTTATGTTTGATAACGTAACGGAGTTTAATGCAGTTTTCAGCAATAGATAGAGTTATTCCAGAGCAATGTTTATATCTATAATATATGCGTGTTAATATAAAACAAGCCGAGAAATTCAAAGATTTGTAATACATCCATGCGAATTCGGGACTAGTCTTTAGCAAATAATAATGAAGTTTTAAACGAGTAATTAAGAAGTAAATAGTTCAAACATATATTTGCATACAAAATATTTATTTATACATTTGCATTAATGTAACAATACAACGTGTATTACAATACAATGTAACAACATGCAATTAAATAGTATTTAATTCTGTATAGATTCTATACAGAATTAAATATCTATATATTATGAGAAATCATTTAATACTTAGTTTCCTGTATATATACCTACTGTATATATAAAAAAAATTGTTCTAATCAAATTGCAATGACAAGCAGACGGTCCTACATAAACAGTATCACGTACATCCTAAAATACAACGAGAAGATCATAATTCCAATCTCGAGGACAAAGTTGTTCTGAGTTTTTATCCTGTACTTTCACTGCTATATTGCTCTTCAAACGACACAGGTCACAAAGCAAATTTCTTGGCTCCTGAAATACATGACACTGAGGTATCTACGGGGACGATCTCATGTTTGAAATGAAATGAATGTTTATTTATTATTATACTGGTAATTGCACAGAGCACAGAGCTTGATTGATAATTAATAAGATGATTAGCAATGTTTACCATTCAAGGTGTGAAAATTATATTACATTTAAAACAATAAAAATATTTAAATTACTATAATAATCATTCTTTATGAAATTTTAATTTAATTAGATTAATAGATATTAGATACATATATTATTTTATGGCAATTGCGTAAGGTCTTACAACAAAATATAGTCTGTTATAAATCTGCATGAAAAAGATTTAAATGTCATATAAAACACTTCCTTTGCAAAAAAGCTTACTATAAAATTGAAGAATTCGTTAACGACAATAATGTTTTTATAGAAAAACTTAAAATCCATAGCACTGACAATATTATCTGATTACACTAATAATGAGTGCGTAGCGATTTCTATGTTGATTGTCGCATGCCTCTTACTTGTTATACTGTAATTATTATATAAAAAACATCTATTCAATAGAGCAACACACAAGTTTCTTGCTCATTCTTCTTGTGATGAATCTGCATTCCGAATGAATGGTAGAATCAAATAAGACTATTCAAAAGTGCGCATAATAAGTTTATTTGAATAAATATTATTTCTATTTCTATTAAATTCTCAAAAATAGTTTACCATCATCATAGTATACTAAAATTATAACGCCCTAAAATACATTATAACGATTGTAGCCCTCTTATGCATTGCTATTCTTGAGGATAAAATTGAATATCCCTGTACCAAGTCATTTCCCTGCCTTCAAACTGGGGACGTATTTAGGTGGCAGTAGGGAATGCAATCCCGACTCGAGATTGCAAATTCGGGATCCCGGAATTTTCGAAATCCCATCTAAATTTAAAAAAAAATGTTGAATTCAGATGACTGAAAAAGCTAATAACTGCTTGTTTGTGATAGTGAGGTTAACTAAAATAACATATTACTCGAAAGAAAATAAAAACCTTTATTCTTTAATCTTACCAACTAAATAATAATCAGGTTGTAAGGAAATTAACGTAGGTAAATTAGGTAATCAAAACAATAAGCTTATTTCAAGGGAATTAGGAAAAAGAGTGATTTTGAAAATGACTCCTTAAAAAACAAAGGGTATTAATAGTTTCATCTGCTAAACGGCATCTAATGTCCGTTGCAATGTACCCCGCTGCTGAGAATGCTCTCTCCGACTCAACGCTGGTTGGCAACAGCGTGGCGAAGCAATTATATCCAAACTGCAAAAATCGCCCCCTTGTTCCTCCACAATTAAACAAATCCATTTCTTTTTTAATGGTAGATTCTAATTTGTCTAAGCTCGTGGACGTGGATATACGTGCAAAAGGACTTTTAGAAGCTCGCAGAGTTTCTTCTAATTCCTCTTGAAGCGATTTATTAGTTTGTGCAGCACGTAAATTCAAATCTTCTGCAATCATTGAAAGAGGCAAGTCATCTTCGATTAGTACTGCCGTATTAATATCTGCTTGGTTTGGTTCTTTACGATATAATTGGTATTTCTTTCACTGCCGCCCAATCCCGTCAATCTCGAACGGGATCTCGTCATATGATGCGTCGGGATTGATCCCGACAAATTACACGAGATCTCGCGAGATCGGGATACCGCGGGATCGCGATTGCATTCCCTAGGTGGCAGTGTACCGAAATATAATGAACTTGAACCAAGATATATATCATATCTCAATATAATATCATAAATAAACCATATAGATAAGATTATAACTGCAATGTCTGACTGAAGTTATTCGAAAACGCGTCATATCTATTAGATAGCCGTCCCAATCACAACAGATATAAATGTGACAGTTTTTTTAATGGATGATGATGGAATGATGCACGACCTTGGTTTACCGGTTTAGCACACCGCTTTACTTACGATAGAGTTTGGGTTCCATTTCCCGCACATTACGAACTTTTGTATATAACAGATTGTATTGGTCTGGTTGTTTTCTATTTACAATATGTACGAGACGACCTCGGTGGTCTAGCGGTCTAGCACACCGCTTTACGACCGATGGTCGCGGGTTCGATTCCTCGCACGGCACAAACATTTGTATTCATAAGTATGATTGTTTGTATCGGTCTGGGTGTTTTCTATGTATAATATGTATTTTTTACCAAAAATAATCTATGTATTTGTATCAGTTGTCTAGTGCTTTAGCTAGCTTTACTTGGGTCTAGATGGCGCTGTGTGAATTGTCCTGAGATTATTATTATTATTATGCCATTTACATAAAAATGTATTTAAGTATTTATCACTAAGTATCACCTTGTCTAGTACTTACTCATAAATTAAGTTCTGCTTAGCTTGGGATTAGCTGGACGATGAGAGAATGGGCATAAAGGCAGGTCAGTTAGCAAATTGTGATTTCATGAGGTTTATAGGGAAGACTGCGTGGAGATCAACCTGACCTGGCACAACACTAGCAATGAAGACATTAGGGATTAATGCCCTTATTGCTAACAATCTCGACCCCTCTTGAAAACTATTGAGTAACACAGGCTGCACTTTAAAATTAAACTAAAACAGAAATCACTACGATTTTACTCGTGCGAAGTCAAGGCTAGTCACTAGTACAAGTCGTACGTTATTTATTATACTAACAAAATTTGGTCAATACCGTATTCTTCAAACATACCATCCTATCCCTTTGTCTTTCACGAACATAAATATCTTATGCTAATGACATGTCAATAAAGCTATAACTAAGAATGGTGAAGTATTTTATACCTTAGTGCATTGTTATAAGGTATATGTAAATTATTGTCAATGGAAACGTAGCGTTGTTAGCATGAAAATAATCGTAAATTTAAAATCATTGCCTGTTGATTTATATAGGGTATAGTGATTTAGGTACGACATACGATACTTTGGTAAAGTAACAGCGCTTGGAGAAAATAGAAACCAACTAGGTACGTGGTTTTTAAATGGCAAATAAGCTATTTATGTAATTTATGTATTCGTATAGTAGTCAAGTAATTAAGTATTATTTTGCGTAAGTCCATTTTATTACTTAATGTATTTATATTATTTTGTTTAATTTCTCTATGATTAGCATGTGTGAGACTACAAAAGAGATCGTAGCGCTTCTAATAGTAGGGTCAGATTTCCGCACTGAATATCTACGGACGAATCTCAAAGATGCTAATTGTAGCGGAATTGAACAAAATAATAGATTTAACGAAGGTTATTAAAGAGAACCACGTGGAGGTAGACCTGACATCGTACATTGCTTGCAGTGGAGTCAGTAGCAACCATTACAAAGAATCCAATGTAAAATAAACTTGTACGATGTATATTGGTTTTAAATGAAATATACCACGGTGGGTAAAACGACCCACTTTGAAAATCTGATAACGTACATAAACAACGCTGTACTTATTCACTGATTGCGCTTTATACCAAGATTTATGGCGAATTTATGTCAGATTACACACGTTTTAGAGTTTAAATTCCATTTGATCCCGGTTTACAGAAGTTATGATTTTGTAGTTTTTTAAATCATGATTTTTGGTTAAAATGAATATTATCCAGCCACAGCTGCCTGATAACGCAAAAATAAAGAATGGGCGATATTTAAAGATTTAATAAAGAATATTTTTGTTTAATAACAATATAATATTAATTTATATTAGGTTTGCTAATATGTATTGTTTTCTTTTGCAGACTTTACCTGTTACTATTGTTGGGGGCTTCGTTGAGTATGGCAATAGGGTACTGGGGCCCAGACCTTCCCCCAGGTCCCTACTGCGGGAGAGGTTCCCCACAATGTTGCCAAGATAGGCAGGACAGCTGTTCACATGAAATACTCTGTAAGTATAATTTAATATAAAGCTTGTTTTCCATTCCAATGACATTCTAAAAAGCAAAATCGAGGTTAATAACTATTATAAATATGATATCGAAATTACAACGGCCTGATCCGAGGTTCTAAACCCTAGCAGCACTCAGACAAAAGTCGTCTCTGTCGAGCAGAAGTTAGCCTTCAGCTCAGTGCCGGATTTATATTTTTAGAAGTGTAGGCCACGTTATATCCGCCCCATGTATATATCTTACTAAAATAATAATTTTCCTTTTGTAGTAAAGAAGACCTTAAAGTTAAATAAACTGTTGCTCTCATCTGTCACTCACGCGATAGTATAGGTTTCAATAGGAATGAGTTTCTGTAGAGATTTATTTAAATTATGAAAAACCATGAGAAAAGATGTGAACGTGTTTGACTTTTATCCTCTGAAATTCTCCTATGAAATCTGCCGCCGGCTGCGCCCTATGTGGTCTATTTACAAATATATGACTGTTTCAGCTGCTCAATAAGTCCTTTCGCGGGTTTGGAGTGCCATGTGCACTCGGCTTCTATCTTTCAATGAAGCTATAAAGGCCAGCTGCCACCAAACAGCATGAGAATAATTCTAAAAAAAAATTTAAAATAGGACCGGTGCAGCAATGAAAACTGTTGTAAAAACTTGGAAATCGTAAACCAGACAAAGTTATGCGGATAAGATAGTTCTACATATATGGCGAGCGTCCATTCTCATTTTGACAAGAGAATATATACCTCACACCCTTATATTATATTTAAGTAAAAATTTACAAAATTTGTAAAATCAACTCTAAAGTTCTAATTTTAAAGCCTAGTTCCAAAAAAATCCAAAATGTTTGTGTTAATGGTGTATTGTATTAGGTGTATATGTAAGCTGAATAAACGAGATAGTGATAAAACCTTAGGTATGCCCTATCTGCTATGACCATAAATCAAGACCCAAGGTTGTCTGTATGTTTGTCTACATTATCAGAGTCAAATATCCGAAAGTGGTTCAAATGGTTTTCAGTATAATTTTTCAAGGATCTGGTTTCCTATTGTTTAATAATATATTCTATGTCTTTTGTACTCGCAATGTGGCCCGGGTTCGCACATGTACTTTAAATGTATGCGTCCCTAATTTTTTTACAACATCGAGAAAGGAGACTAGTACTAGTCTACTAGGTACTAGTCAAACAGACTGTATTTTTATGTGCGTTGTCTTAGGACTTTTTTTTATTTGAAAACTGGTGCTTCGGATGTAGTCTCGTATATATTTAGTCGTAGAAGTAATTAGTTTTTGAGATAAGCTTAACTATGACCTCAGATTTGTACGGGTATTACATTCAAATATCATTTAGAAAACCTTAACGAATTGTACCTACACCTTCTCCCGAAAACACTCTGTTGATATCTGAAACGCGCATAAAGTACTTTCGACATAGTTAATGTGTATATATAAAGTATATCGGCGGAAGAAAGCGGAATTGTGGTAACTTGAAATACAACTTTACACCAGAGAGAGAGATAATAATTAAATCATTATTTAATTAATAAAATTGGAGGTTGTATCACAAAATTAATTCAGAATTCTTTCGTCTATATGTTTGTTATTACATAACAACATATCCCCGGCCATTTCAAACGAAAATGAAAATTAGGACGGTGCGACTAAAACTAAAGTTGTATCCGTCATGCGGGAGTTCAGACGTCCCATAAGTACTTACGCGGGTAGTGCCATCTGCACTATCTTCCGGTGAAGCTGTAAAGGCCTACTGCGACCAGCACTATTAGAGTAGTCCGAAAAATACAACACATACTTTGAAAATTTAATCCTAATTACTTCAGCCGTTTTACTTCAAACGTTAACACACAAACGGACAGTTTTCGTTATATGTAAATGGGATTGAACTTGCTGCTTTGTGGAACACTGCATTATACGATACATATATCAAAGACAGTATCGTTATAAAGTCACATATCCTAATGAATCCCACTAGGTTTTTTGGGGATGGTGGGATATGACACACTCGAAGTAAGACAACAACACAGTTAATGAAATATGCAGTGAAATTCTTGAGAGGTGAAAAATGTAACCAAACGGTATTAACATCAATATCCATAAGAACGCCCAATAATTATGTGCAAGCACGAAGACGGCACTAGTTTGATGTTCCATGGAGAAGAATATAGCTGGCCAAACAGGCTCCTATTTCTCTGGCATTGAGTCTAACGGTATAGTTAATCGATTTCGAAATCTAGACATATTTACTTGTAATTTGCTGGAGTTTCGTAGGATAGCAGATTATTTATGTAGTATGTAAAATTAAAACAACAGTATAATAAAATACACATATTTTATTATAGTGATATATTTAGAACATTATTTAATTTGGTGAATTTCAATTGCTTTATTTCGTTTTATTTTTGACATTTCAACTATAATTGTTAGTTGAACATGTGTTACCCACTCACTAATAGTTATGCCTCATTGTTGGGTTAACTGGTAGAGATCTCTTTTAGAGATAAGTCCACCTTTGCTCACTTTTTATTTAATTACGTTTAATAATGTATTTAAAAGTGCAATAAAATATATATATTAGTAAATAGTGTGTATATAAGTGTATGTATATGTATACAATTTCCTAAGTGGGAATACCTGAAATACCTGAAATAATCGATTAGCTAAAACATCAGACAAACTAAAACCATCGATAATATTTTGTTGTTACGTTAACGGCCGCAGTGGTTTAGTGGTTTAGGACACCTCCATACATCTAATGGTCGTGGTTTCGATTCCATCGTACAACTAATTGGAGTCATGAGTATGATTGTTTGTTCTAGTCTTGTGTTTTTTTAATATATTATTTTTATTTATTTATTTAACTGTAAAGCTCGCGTAGCACGACGTAAATAAATAAATCATTAAATTTAATGTAATTTTCAGCGACCCTATGCTATTGCGATCAATTCTGCAACCGGTCGAGGGTCCACGATGACTGCTGTCCTGATTATGAAGAAGTCTGCTTGGGGATATCACCACCACCGAATGTATTGGAGGGCTGCAAGTATAAGAACAAATTGCATATACCTGGAGATAAGGTGCTGCAAGGCTGTAATGAGTGGTAAGTATTTTATAACTCTTAAATAATTTCAAAATTGATGCTCATCATTTTTAATATCAGGCAGACTTTGTTCTATATATTAAACAAAATCTGCTTGACCTTAAAAATGTAAATTATATTTTTACAATATGATCTGAGTGTATATAATTTGATTTACTTAGATCATATCGTAGAAAAATATTACTAATTTTTACTGTGTTTCTTGTTTAGGAAATATATTTTATTGTAATTTAATTACGATAAATAAAAAAGTTACGTTAACGGCCGCATTGGTTTAGTGGTTTAGGACACCATACATCTAATGGTCGTGGTTTCGATTCCATCGTACAACTATTTGTAGTCATGAGTATGATTGTTTGTTCTAGTCTTGTGTTTTTTTAATATATTAATTTTATTTATTTATTTAAATATAATTAATGTACATACAAAAAAAATGTATTTAAATACTATTTATCATGTGTCAAGTATATATTCATAACACGAACTCTGGATAACTTCGGAAAGATGGCGGTGGGAATTGTCCAAGGTTTTATAACAATAATAATACTCTCAGGATAATTTACAGAGCGCCATCTACTATAGACCCATGGCAGGTTAGCTAAAGCTTGTGTTATTGGATTAGATAACTTATATAAATACCTTGTTTTTTTTCGTAAATACATACACATTATACATAGAAAGTACCCAGACCGATACAAACAATGATACTTATGAATACAAATGTTTGTACATTACGAGGAATCGAACGCGCGACCATCGGAAGTAAGGCAGTGTGCTATACCGCTAGACTACCGAGGCCGTCGGTGGTAATAATATTAATACTATATTTATGAGGTAGTAAATTTGAAATAAATCCATAAATACACAGTAATAATGAAATAATAATATTAGAATACTTAACACATCTGAGATGTTCAGCTGTTTACGATGCAGGTCAAATAGTTGACATTACTATATGTCAAGGATGTACGGATATGTTTTAGAAATCGTCACAAAACTTTGTAAATTGAAGAAATAGAGATAGAAATAATCTTTATTCAAATAAACTGAATACCAGCATTTTTGAATAGTCATATTTTTTTATTCCACGGAAAAATTCGGAAAGCAGACTCGAGAAGACTTTTTTATTTATTTATTAGGCAGACAGATTTTCTTAGATGTTATTTTCTTTATGTTAGGTCGCATTCAAAAGAGCAACTCACAAGTTACTTGCAGTTCTTCTTGTGAATTGCTCTTTTGAATGCGATAAAGAAAATAACATCTAAGAAAATCTGTATATTATACACTAGCCATATGGCCTGATTTTGTATGGGTGCAATTATTACACAATCTCATTTTTTTTTAATTTATCAATAATCTCTATTTTTTTAAAAATTCAGATATGCCCATGGTATTTACTGAAAAATCGAGCCTTAGATTGAATATTTAGAAACGATTACTTGTAATACCTTCACGATTACTCACAATCGACACACTTTACTGGTTCTTATCCGCGAGTATAGAATAACTTTAGCCTTAATTTTCTATCAAAATCTTAGTTATATATTTACCATATTTTTTGGGGACAACAAAAATATTAGTTAAATTTGATTAAACTCACAATTTCAAAGGCTATTATAATAACTACAGCTCGTTAATCTTTTAATTTGACCGTTTAGTTGATGTATTGTCTGTAATAATGAAATAGGTTGACACATTTATTTATTGCGCCAAAAACCATTACAAATGACATCACACAGTGTAAGAATTATACTAAGTGAACATCACAAGAATTCCCGTGTCCCAAATAAAATGTAAGAAACATTAATATCATAGTACTGTCACGAAGAGAATTTATAAAAACAAATTTATTCATTCTGTTGTATGTTTTTTTATTACGGTTTTTTTAATGGATTGAGTGACTCTAGAGGAAGGGATTATATATATAATATATTGTACACCCGTGCGAAGCCAGGGCGCGTAGTTAGTAGTATTATAAATATGAATGGCGTCTGTCTTTCTATTTATTACAGTTTCACAAGGAAACGTATTTTAAAGGCTGAACGTATTTTAACAAAGTTTGACAAAAAGGTAGATTTGATTTATTAAAAGGACAGACTTAGATTATCTTTTATCTCAAAAAAGCAGCCAAAGCCTCGAGTAAGTTGGTATTTAGTATAAATGCGAGAGCGTCTGTTTTATTTTATGTTTATTAAATTCAACACTAAACAATTGAAGGTAGTTGGCTTGATAATAGATTGTATGACAACGACGGATACAAGTTCAAAGAAAGACATAGTCTATTTGTAAAACCCATCAATTTGACTTAATAATAGATTGTACGATAAGTCTATCTTTATCGTACAATCTATTATTAAGTCAAACTATATATCTAAATAAACACAGACAAAGTTGAGAGAAAGATTTATAAATAGTCTATTTACAGCACCTATCGAATGATACTTTATTTTGAATTCACTTCTGTTTACAATAGTACCGTACATATAATGCGTCTAATTGCGAAACAGATGGACATTCATCGCAATAAATAATAAGGTAGCCGACCTAAATACAGGGCGCTGAAACATTAATGAAATCCAATGTGACACTTCATTTCGAGGTAAAGTTTCAGATTACCTGAAAATTGGAGACTGACGTCAACAGGACAACTGGATGTAATTTTGTCATAATTTCAATGCTCTATTTTTTATTCTTCCAATTCTTCTTTGCGGATTTATAAATTATGTTACATAAATTTGTTCTCTTTTTTGGTCAATACTTGTCTCTAACAGGTCTAGGTAGTGACCTCTGAAAAAGGGCGAGCACAATTGATCTATGTAGGTCGCAGTGCTCCAGGTCCAAGGATCAGACAATAGCCCAACTCCCTAATAAAAAAAACTTGATTTCATGATTTTTCTTCTTGTTACAGCTAGTCACATTTGTGACACTCCCCCTCTATAATGTGACGTCATATATTTTCTAATTTTACCAAAGTAAATCGAGTGTAAAAACGTCAATAAAATAATTTAAATATTAGGTTCATATATATGTATAAATGATGTTGGAAGTAATAAAAATAAATAGGTGCTAAAGCAGATCTTATTCAGACTTTTTAAAAAGTTTACCTCAGTGACATTCCGAATGAGCGGTAGATACAAAACAATACTATAGCCTACGTATTACTCTGATCTATAAGCTATATTTCTGCATCTAGTAGTATCATCAAATACCGTTCAGTAGTTTTTGGGTGAAAGAATAACATACATCCATGCGTCTTATTATATCTTTTTTTTGTGTATGATAATGGAATGGTTCACCAACCTGCGCTAACGGTTTACCCTGGAGGGGCACCAGTGGAGGATGATGAGATGAACACGAAGTCAGGTCAGTTAGCCCATCGTGACAAATTCATTAAGAATTTATCACGACGGTTTCCAGGGGGAACCGCGTGGAGGTCGACCTAACATGGTACATTGCTAGCAATGGTGTCTTATTATATTAACTTTCGCGTTTATAATATTAATAGGATTACATAGAACTTAACGAATTAGTTTATACCCAAAAAACTGTCTAGAATTTGGTGTAAGGTTAATAATGTCAAACAGTACTGCAATCAGCTGTTGCTATTTTCATAGACAGACAAGAGAATATAGTCAAATAGATAAGAAGATAAAAACATGTTGATAAAGAAATAAGAATGTATCTTTATTTATATAGACTTGTTTGAATAATATTTGAAGTATGATTTTATCTGATAGTTATTTGGAAATAAAAACAAATGAGAGCGTTTTGGTCTAGTTGTTATTACCACGACTAACGTTATAGAGACGTTGTTGCAATATCAATTACTGTAACTACCCCTTATAGTATAACAGTCGTGAAGATATAAGTAACAAATGTATTATCATACTAGTCGAAAACTGTCGACTAAAGGTACTGTAACTGGAGCGGATCACTACACAATTATCTATACAATAATTCGTGAAACAACTTTGTATCCCATTTTACGAAAATTGTGCGGAAGGAGTATGATATTTTAGCACACTTATTGTTTATATATTTATATTACTATGCATAAAAATACATTAAAAAACATTACACACATTGCCATGTATTTGACACACACAAACATACATACTTATCTGTTTATTGCTTATGCAACTACCACTGCCTGTTATTATAGAAGAATAGTCTTTGACAATAATGTTCAAATCTATAATTTAAATGAATTATGATCCTATTTAGACTACTAGGCGATTACTGGAGTACAATGAAAAGCGGGAATAATTTTGCGTTATATATTTCCCAAGAGGGGATCAGCAAGTGATAAAAAATATATAAAAAGAAAATATCAAAATAATATTAATATTTATAAAAATAATGGTAGACAAGCTGTCAACAACAGTGACCTATATACATATACATACCCGAATTAATAACCATCTTTGGCTGTTTAAAAGAGTTGTGGTTTTTTGATCACGGATTAAAGCATAAAGTTCGTCAGTTGTAATGTTGCGGATACTAAACTTTGTTTCGTGTCGCATCGTATGTTGTACTTTACTGTTGTAATGCGGAATCATTTAGACTCGCTTTTGGACTGTTGTGCGTATTGAACTTTGTGCATCAATATATATTTCTAACCGCCTCACTGGTGATGGAAACCTCAATAACAAACCGACCTCGGTGGTCTAGCGGTCAAGCACACCGCTTTACGACCGATGGTCGCGGGTTCGATTCCTCGCACGGCACAAACATTTGTATTCATGAGTATGATTATTTGTATCGGTCTGGGTGTTTTCTATATATAATATGTATGTATTTACAAAAAAAAAATATCTATGTATTTGTATCAGTTATCTAGTACCCATAACACAAGCTCTAGCTAGCTTAACTTGGGTCTAGATGGCGCTGTGTGAAAAAAAAAATCCAATTCGATTAGATTTACCTTGGTGTCTAAAAGCTCGGATGCCGAAACATTTTAGTGCTTTTATACAAAATAGTAAGTTGTTTATAAAAAAAAC